AAGAGAAATTGAAGTTAACTAAAGATGATACTCGCGACTTTGTTGATGCAACATATTTTAGGGAATTGGCGGAGAGTCTAAGGTACTTAACTTCTACAAGGCTTGATATTACTCATGACATATTCAAGTTTGAATATCTTGGTTTAAGGGAGGTTGTTGGAAACTAAACAAAGATTAATTAGTATTCCTAAGTTGTCTAGGATTTGATATTTGATAGTTTATTTAATTCATGTCTAGTGGGTTGTTGTTGTTGTTGTTGTTTATTTAATTCATGTCTAGTTAGTTTTGTTTACCAATTTTATATTGGAATAAGTTTTTGGTTTTGTAGTATTATAAATAGGGGTGCTACTACATAATTTCTATTGTGGAGAGGTAGTTATGATGTAGAGAGATTCATGAGTTTATGAGTTGGGAAAAAGCCTCCTACCACATTCCCTCCCTAGTTTAATAAATTTCTTCTATATAGTCTTTGTTGAAGTTTTTGCTTGTGCCTAAATTATTCTTGTGGTATTTCAATCCTTCACTTGTTAATGCTTTTTTTAATTCCTTTTAATGATTGCTGGGATTATTCTTTTCTTGAGCCGATGGTCTATCGAAACATCCTTTCTACCTTCACAAAGGTAGGGGTAAGGCTGAGCATACACTACCCTCTCAGGCTCCATTTATAAAATTTTACTCAATATGTTGTTGTTATATCCTCTTAAACCCGTCTCTAATACATGTGAAAATCTAGAAAGAGGAAACGGAGAGAGAAAGCACATTTACAGAAAAATCACTTAGGTTAAGGAACATATAAAATATTATTTTCTGAAGAATTTCTTGTGCAGAAGTAATAAGTTTAGGGTAAAAAAAGAAACTAACAACTTAATATCTAAATAATTTAACAAATGGATTATAGTAATTTCAATCCCGAATTTACAAATATAGTCAGTCAACTTAGCAAATGTCACGACCCAAAATCTCACCCATCGTGATGGCGCCTATCTCAATACTAGGCAAGCCGAAAATCTCAATAAACCACAATTTCTCTCAAGATTGAAAATATAATATTTAAATACAATACAAACACTCTCCAAAACCTGGTGTCACTGAGTACATGAGCATCTAATATGAATACAAGTCTGTAAAATATAGTCTATAATAGTCTGAGACCAAATACAGTGAATAAAGAGATAGAGAAGGAGAGACAAGGTGTGCGGAACACGGCAGCTACCTCAAAATCTTCTGAAAGTTAACCGCGCGAAAGGATCAACATCCGCTATGTTCGGAAATACCTGGATTTGCACACGAAGTGCAGGGTGTAGTATGAATACAACCAACTCAGCAAGTAACAACAATAAATAAAGAACAGAAGATAGTAACGAGCTACACAGTTATGGTTTATTTCCAGCAAAAGAATAGACATGCTATCAAATCTGGCAGTTTAATGTCAAATTAATTTTTATACAGTTCCTGTTCATGTAATCCGTATATCTACAATCTTTCAGAGACTTCACAACAATGACAGATAACAACTAAGTACAACAACAAATGGAAATCAAGTACAACCTCTTAGGACAACAATCACTCACTGGGCTCCCAGCCCTCATCACTCACTCTCAATGAGTACCCGCGCTCACTGGGGGTGTACAGACTCATGAGGGGCTCCTACAACCCAAGCTCTATAAGCACGGACAACTCACGTGATGCACGGAAAACTCACGTGCCATAATATAAATATCTGGATCCGCACGGCCAACTCACGTGCTGCACGTCCAACTCACGTGCAATAATAAGCCAATAAGGCCTGCTGCAGGTGGGCAGCCCCGATCCATAAAATATCCTCACAATCAGGCCCTCGACCTCCCTTAGTCATAAATCTCTCAAGTCGCTCAGGTTCTCAATAATCATGAAATCAGCCAAAACAACAATGATATGATGTATCAATAATAATAACAGAGACTGAGATAAAATGTGCAAGTAAAAATTGAGACTGAGTAAATATAGCATTTAGCAGGCAATTCAACAAGTACACGACCTCTGTGGGTCCCAATAATACTATCACATAGCCTAAACATGATTTCTAACATAATTTACAGTTAAATTTTATCAACACATAGAGGGCATATAGCTAACAACAAATTATTCAACTTTACAGTTTGTCAGAACGGACCAAGTCACAATCCCCTCGGTGCACGCCCACACGCCCGTCACCTAGCATGTGCGTCACCTCCAAAATAATCACATGATACCAAAATTCAGGGTTTCATACCCTCAGGACCGGATTTAAAACTGTTACTTACTTCAAGCCGTGATATTCTTATTCTGCAATGTCCTTTCCTCGTGGATTGTTCTCCAAACGCCTCGAATCTGGTCATAAATAATTCGTTTCAGTCAATAAAATTCATTGGAATTAATTCCATAAGAAAATAATGATTTTCCATAAAAACCCGAAAATTAGCTCAAACATCTCCCGTGGGGCCCACATCTCGAAACCCGATAAAAATTACAAAATCCGAAAGCTCATTCCACCACGAGTCTAACCATACTAATTTTACCAAAATCCGATATCAACTAGACCTCCAAATCATCAAATCTTATTTCAAATCCCTAAGTTCAAAACCCCCGATTTACACCTCAAAAACATGTAATCTAGTCGGATTATTCGATGATAATTCAATACTATGTAGTAGAAATGATCACAAGGGACTTACCTCAAGTTTTCGCGTGAAAACCTTGCTCAAAATCGCCCAACCCGAGCTTGAAATGTCCAAAAATGGCAAAAGTTCGGAACCCCTCTGTTTTTGTATTGCCCAAAGGTTTTCGCACCTGCGGCCACTTGGCTGCTTCTGCGCCAACCGCATGTGCGGAAAAAGTCCCGCATCTGCGCCTTTGCTCGTATCTGTGCGCCTATTTGTGCTCCTGCGCAAGCCGCTTCTGCGCGCGTCCCTCCGCATCTGCGTTCACGTAGGTGCGGAATTTTCTTCGCACCTGCGACCACTGCCCCATAGTCCATTTGCGCATCTGCTCTTGCTAGGCTCGCTTCTGCGCGCTCGTACCTGCGATGAAATTTCCGCAGGTGCGATTGCAGTAGAGGGCAGAAACTTCAGCTATTTCTTCTAAGTCCGAATTTGATCCGTTAACCATCTGAGACTCACCCGAGGCCCCCGAGACCTCAACCAAATGTACCAACAAGTCCTAAAACATCATACGAACTTAGTCGATCCTTCAAATCACATCCAACAACACTAAAACACGAATCACACATAGATTCAAGCTTAATGAACTTTGAAATTTCCAATTTCTACAAACGACTTCGGAACCTATCAAATCACGTTCAATTGACCTCAAATTTCGCACACAAGTCATAAATGACATAACGGAGGTATTCAAATTTTCAGAATCGGATTTCAACCCCGATATCAAAAAGTCAATCTCCCGGTCAAACTTTCCAAAAATTTAACTTTCGGCATTTCAAGCCTAATTCCACTATGGACCTCCAAATAATATTTCGGACACGCTGCTAAGCCCAAAATCATCATACGGAGCTATTGGATTCATCAAAATTCAAATCCGAGGTCGTTTACACATAGGTCCATATCCGGTCCATTTTTCTAACTTAAATTTTCAATTATGAGACTAAGTGTCTTATTTCATTCCGAATTCCTTCCAGACCTGAACCAACTAACCCGATAAGTCATAAATCAATTGCAAAACATAATTTGAGCAGTAAATGTGAGAACGGGATTATAATATTCAAAACGACCGGCCGAGTCATTACAACAAAAGTCATATGTTAACAATTGTAATTTAAAGTTCCCACTTTAATTCTTGTTAACTAACTTTTACGAACTTAGAACTATAATTTTTCTGCACAAAGTTTTCTTCTCTATATAATTATGAGCAAGTTGGGTGTCTACCTCCTCCTACTTCGGGGGCTGGGGAGGGGGGACTTGGATCGTCATAGCACAAGCAAAGGGAAAACTTTGGCTTTTGATTCGATTGGAAAATTTGAGTTATGTCCTAACTCAGGATTAGAGAAAAAGCTTAATTCATTTGTCCCTGGACACGCGCAGCCTAAGAAAGAGTTTGATCCAAATGAGCGTGGACGGTGGAGATTATCTCAACCTTAGATGATACAACACGTGGCAGGCTAATGGACTACCTTTTATTAAATTTTCTTTTTCCCTTTTTCCTTGTATATATTTAGTACACATACCGTTATAGAATAGCCTATATCATTTTAGCACATACTGATAGGCAGTGCAACATTCCTTGTATATATATGATTATTTTATTTTCAATGAATTTCGTGATAAAACATGCAAGGCACGAATCATCGAGCCTTCTTATGCAAAAAACATGAAGATCTTTTTATCAAATATAACAGTCCTTTATGGAGAAATGTAGAGACATGACTCGCGTAAGAGACCTGAAATCTCATGATCAGTAGACGAAGCATAATTTGATTCCGTTTAACTATAGTTTTCTTTTAATATTTTCAATTATCTAAAAAGTTTGTTTACGATAGTATTTTTTATGTAGTTTTTAAAGTTAGTGGTAACTTTCATTTTAAAATTTAAGGATTTAATGTAATTTGTAAAGAGAAAGGGAAAAAATGTTTGAGATTGCGCTGATTTGTACCTTATACTAGTATCCATACTTCATTATACATTTTTAGACTAATGGAAGTAAACCCTAGTATAGCATAAAACCCCATTAAAGAAAACATTTTATATATCGGGGAAGAGCAGGTATATAGCAGCATTAAATAAAATATTTTATATTATTCATTCAATAATTGAAGGCCGGGAGTATATTGGAGCAATGATAAAGTTGTCTCCATATAAGTTACATATTTGATCCGTGGAAACAGTCATTTGTGTTTGCATGCATTAGGATACTTGAGTGTGACATTTCTCTCGACCTTAGGTAAACATAGATGCTTTGTACGCCCTTTTATTTATTTTATTATTCTGTAAACACACGCCCGTGCTTTATTATGGTAGAACTTCACATAATTAAGAGTACATGCCCTCCGATAATCGAGGTTTTGCTTGAGCAAAAAATGGCACGGTACACGAGAGATTACGTCCCGATTTCTCAATGAAGTCATTGCCCGGAGAGTTTGGTGGTAAGTTCCAATTAAATCCTTGAAGTAGCCTAGCAAGTAACATGGTAGTAATTGTAGAACCAAGTTTCACACCAGGACAACCTCGTCGTCCAATACTAAATGAAAACAAGTGTAACTCTGAATCATTGAGAACTACTTCACCACCTTCCTCCTTGAGATGGTGCTCTGGCTTGAACTTCATGGGATCCTCCCAAACCCTAGGATTTCGACCAAGTCCAAGACGACTTAATAGCACTACACTCCCTTTGTGAATGAAGTATTCACCCACAATAGTATCAGAAACAGACACATGAGGCACGTTAAAAGGCATCAAGGGGTGGAGTCGAAAGGCCTCTCTAAGGCAAGCTTTGACATAATTTAGCTGTGGCAAGTCAGATTCTTGAACCAATCTATTTCTCCCAACGACAGTGTCAATCTCTTCTAAGGCCCTTTGCATTATCTGTGGTTTGTTCAACATTTCTTTGATTGCACATTCAACTGCATTTGAGGGATTATCTACCGTTGCAAGCATGAGTTCCTGTCAAAATTATTTGTAACAACCAACAATGTCTAACAAAATAACCGTATTTGATTTTTTTTTCCAGAGAACAAACTTGTGTTTTCGGAATCAAAAATATTTTCCAAAAACAAAATGATGTAATTTAAACAGACAATCTCCAGAGTTATTTTTCCCAAAAAACAAACAATCTCAAGAGTCTTAGAACTTGTGGTCTTAAATATGTCATTATATTTTTGTAGCTATAAAAACATATCAAAATTTAAAATTTAAAATTTAAAATTATTTTCAAATATAGAAGTTGTCGTTCTTTAATCGCTGGATTAAAATTGTAATTTGCCATATTGTTCACATATATAGTTTAAGGAATTGAAAGTATACTTACAAGGACTTGCGCCTTAATCTCTTTAACACTCATCAATGGATTTCCATTGGTATCTTTGAGCCTGATGAGAACATCAAGGATGTCTTCTTTCACATGAGCTTTGTTGCTATCTTTCCAAATTTGAAGCCTCTGATCAATTTCATGATCAATCAGTTTTGTTGCTTTGGCATAGGCTTTCTTGATAATTGCCTTGTGACCATCTAAATCAAATCCACTTAACCATGGCAAATATTCTGAAATACTAAGAGAATAGAGATAATCAAGAAGCGTGAAGACTGCTTCAACTTGCTCTTCGGCTTCTTCTTCTACACTTGGTCCTTCATTTTTTTTCATTATTCTTTTTCCTAGTAATCTCTTGCTGAAAATCATATTCTTAACAACATTTGCACAGTAATATCTGGTCACTTTCCTCAAGTTAATAGTAACAGGTTCGTTGCTACTGCAATATTGATTATATACAAATCGAAGAAGGTGGTCAGCTTCTTCATCCCTTTTATGACGAAGCCATAGATGAGATGATTGTAAGAGGACATGGGAAGCAAGAAATCTTCTCATTTTCATCCATTGATCACCCATAGGGAGAAAAACTGAGGTCAAGTAGCCATTGCTAATGAGGGTGGCAGACATGCAAATACGCCTCGACGAGAAAAGAGAGTCTTGCTCCTTTAAGAAGTGGCAAGCAAGCTCAGGAGAAGTAACAGCAATGACATGGGTACTCCCAAGACGAATGCAAGCAATTTCAGTTTCCATTTCCTCCATAAGTTCGTGTATCCACTGATATGCTGGCTTCTTCTTTAGTAGCATTTGAGGAAATCAGCCAACTATAGGCCATGGATTTGGACCTGGAGGCAATAATGGCTTTTTGGTTTTCTCGTTTCTTGCACTACTCCATGACTTGCGTGTTATCTTAAGGATTGTGGGAAACAATATTTTCCATATTATAAAAGTGGAGACGACAATATGAAAAAGATAAACAAGGTTTGGCAATTTAAGATTGCTGATCATGATTTTCCTTGTGATTGCTGAAGGCTATGTTTCAAAGGTAGCATGCTATCCACTATTTATAGTTCTTCATGAGCTTGCAGTTTAGTACTTTCAAGTTTTATAAACTACTTTACATATTTAGCTACTCCTACTATCTTTTACTATAAAGGTTACCCTTGGAACAATAATAAAGTTGGCTTATAGGGTAGGTTATCTACGTCATACTTTTTGGGTACGACATTTCCCCGAATTCTGTATAAATGCGGGATGCTTTGCGTATCGGGCTGCCGTTTACTATTTTTTACAAGAAGAATTAACCCAAATAGCCGCCTACCTAACCGCTTAAACTAAAAATAGCCCGTGAAGGTATAATAAATGCATAATCTATGTATTATATATGTATAATTGTGTATAATCAATGTATATGGCTAAAAAATATACGATGAATACGGCCGGCTATTCGTGTAAAGATCCCTTTTACAAAGTTATAGTGACTGTTGTAAAAATTGCATGGGGCGCCTTATTTGGTCGCCGCTTTTTAACTTATACCCGTTTTATTTTTCCGTTTGCATCCGTACCTTTTTTTTTTGTTAAAAGCGTTTTAAAAAGACTATTTTGCCCTTCTTTAATAAAAGACTATTGACAAAACTATAGACTGCAGGGCAAAACTCCAGCATATTTTGGTATGAAATTTTAGCAAATGAACTAAATAACTTCAGCATGCATTAGAAAAAACTAATTAGAAAATTACATACTGCAAGACAAAAACTTAAGCATGTTTAGTCTAAAATTTTAGCAAATGAACTAAATAACTTCAGCATGCATTAGAAAAAACTAATTAGAAAATTACATACTGCAAGACAAAAACTTAAGCATGTTTAGTCTAAAATTTTAGCAAATGAACTAAAAAACTTCAGCTTGTTTAGACTGAAGTTTCGGATAAAATTCATGACAAAAGTGTAGACTGCGTGACAAAATTTTAGTATGTTTTGGTATGAAATTTTAGCAAATAAACTAAATAACTTCATCATGCATTAGCAAAAACTCATTAGAAAATTACATACTGCAAGACAAAAACTTAAGCATGTTTAGTGTGAAGTTTTAACAAATGAACTAAAAAACTTAAGCATGTTTAGTCTGAAATTTTAGCAAATGAACTAAATAACTCAAGCATGTTTAGTCTGAAATTTTAGTAAATGAACTAAATAACTTAAGCATATTTAGGTTGAAGTTTTAGCAAATGAACTAAATAACTCAAGCATGTTTAGTCTGAAATTTTAGTAAATGAACTAAATAACTTAAGCATATTTAGGTTGAAGTTTTAGCAAATGAACTAAATAATTTCAACATGTTTAGACTGAAGTTTCGGATAAAACTCATGACAAAACTGTAGACTGCAGGATAACTAACTTCAGCATGCGTTAGTTTTAGTTTCAACGTGAAACAACTTCATGCTATATTATCATGAAGTTTTAACTTCAACATGAAACAACTTCATGCTACATTAGCATGCAGTTTTAGATTCAACGTGAAACAACTTTATGCAAGTGTGATTCTGAAGATGAATCTGGACAAGTTTCTGCTTTTTTGATAAAGCTGCTGAGAGAAGAGGAGGAGATCTTTTTTCACGAATGAGGTTGCAGATCACACGATTAATGCGTGATGCAGGTTTATATCTTTTGTCAGGGGTATAATTGTCATATTATTACGAATTTTTTGTCAGCTGACTACCAAATCAATAATTTTTAAAAATAAAGTACAAGTTAAAATGTGACACAAATATATGGTACGACTGTAAATTCCCCGTGACTGTTCTAATTCAGGAAGATGTGCCCGATCGTTGAATGCTTCTAAAATGAGTATTTTAGTGGTAATCACAGCCTCAAATACACTTGAATAGACAAAGCCCCCATTATTAGAAAAGTAATTAGTATAATTTGTTAAGTATTAAGTAACAAACTGCAGTTCTCCCATTATACGACACTAGTGCTTCTTCTTTCTCCTTTTCTATTTTAGTGTTTTGCGTTCACATTCCTAGGCAATAAAGATATTATACTTAGGATGCTTAGTTCCTTCATAATTAGGGATAAAGTACTCCTTCAGCAACCAAAGAGATTTTCTTTTTTTTTCGAGTTTAAAATCTAAACCTCTAATTAAGAAATCTTGAACTTTTTACTATACATTTTGTCGGTCTCGGCTAATTCACACGTGAATCATGCATATTTGGGCAAATCATTGGCTCCATACTCTCAAAAGCTAGTAGTGGTCCAGAAGAGCCTCTAGTCATTACCACACGTCACTTCAGGTGAAAAAATATCAAAAGAAACATTATTCTTATTAGTTCCATGTAACAACATATCCCGCTAGTGATATTGTCCGTTTTAGACCTATGCCCTCACGGGTTTAAAATACGTTACTAAGGTCTAAGTCTTAATAACTTATATATCCAATATTCATCTTGTGTTTTGACGATGTGGTACTCGGTCTAAAAGCTGCGTTATTACATTCCAAGGATAGGATAAGAAATATCTATACTATATTAAACTAATGTAGTTGGATCTTTAAAATAATGTTGTCATTCTCTTCCCCCCCATAATTTTGAAAAGTTATCCTCATCATTGTAAATTCTTGAAATCTCAAAGCTAATTGGTAGTTTCATTGAAATAAATCTAGGATAGTCATTAATTTTATTTGACCTTTGGGTGAACGTGGTAAAGAAAAAGTTTTTGACTCTGAGGAAATTAAATCTATTAATATTTTCACAACAGTATAGGTTCATTTAGCTTACCTATAATTTTGATAAATTGTGGATGGCATATAAGATTTTTATGTACTTAAGTTACCAAAAAGAAATTCATCACCATATTGAAAACAGATCTATAAATACCAAGATTAAAGAAAAAACTAAGAATCAGAATTGACCCGAAAAAGAAAGGACAAAAAAGAAAATAGAGCACGTTTCTAATTTTTATCAATCTCTTTTGTAATACTTGAAAAAGTAATAATTTGTGAAAAATATCTTAACTTCATTTTTCTACATAAAACATTTATTTCAGAATCATGACATATTGATAACTGATCTATTTTTTATTCTAGAAAAAAATGGAAACCCTATCTTCCTAAATTAGAATTAAGTTGAAAGTTATCTATTGATTTCTACGTGGTAATTAAAAAACGTTCTTATATGTCATGTATTACTAATACAACTAATTTAATTTAATTCATCATCATGTTCAAAAGGCATTGAGTTTAGCTACTATACTATGTTAATATAATAGTACTTTTTATCATTTAACCAACTGTTTGCATTTATTTTAACCAAAATTGTTATTTTTCAAACATTTGTTCGTTATGTATATATTTTTATTATTTTTATTAGTTGACACAGTATACACGTGCAATGCGCGTACACTAAAACTAATTATTAAGAAAAATTCAAAAAGGTTCAAGGCCGCATAGAAGAAGCTATGATGTTCTTTTTTATGATCTAGTGAACACATTTTATAGTTAAGCTGAATTTATATGCTTAAGTATTATTCCTAGCCCATGAACAATTCTCTTGCTCGACCCATCGACATTTTAACTTCTATCGAAATAGATTTTGCAAAAAATCAATTATATTTAAATCTTGATTGACCTTTCACCACTAGTGACAGCAGTGGCGGAGCCCGTAGCTCCAATTGATATGTATATATACTAGTACTATTTATTGAGACTCATTGACTCATTCATATATTTATTTCCTTAAATTTTATGATATATATCCTTTAATGGAAATTCTGTGAGTGACAAAGGTAGTCCTCATTTCTTGGATTGCAAATTAAAATTAATCTTATGTCTGTACCACTAGTTTCAGAGGCGTGGCTTTTCTTGGACCAAAAAAGTGCGAAAACAATACTGATTTCCTATCGAAGAAATCCATATTTTTTAAAATGAGATAATTATAGAGTCTTTCCTTCAAGATTCTCTTCATGACTTTATTTGTGGTTTACGAGATTACACTTATTTTTTTATTTTAAAAATTTATGTATCGACTTTAACATATTTATTATTAAAGTAAACATTTATAATCTACCAATTTTGCCCTTTCTAATCTTATTTTCAAAGGAATATTTCCCTTTCTCTGCGGGTTCATAATTAAACCACAGTAATAATCATAAAAAAATTGACTAGATGAAATAGGTATTACCAAGCGACTCCAGTCGATTACGAGTTTCTAGCTAGAGCGAATCAAAGGTGTAGCTTATGTTAAACTAATACGTAGTATATTATGTAATGGAGCTGACTTTCTCTTTGTAGTTTGTATAGGGTAAAAATATGCTACGTTAAGAAATTGCATAAGAGAATGATACGTGGAGCCGAAAACAGAGGATAGCTAAAATCGAAAATAATTGTTTCATTTGTTACCGGAAAGAGTGACGCTCATAAAGATGCAATAAATGTCTGTCACCCGGTAGCATTTAATGAGTAAAATTTTACAACATTTAGTACACTGCCCGTTACAAAAAAAATTATCATTTATGTTCAGCGTTACACATTCTTCAATAGCCCTCATAATTGACATTAAAGAAAGACATGATCCTAGGACCTTGTTCCCTAGATGCATCTATAAATAGCGAGTTGTGTTATCATTGTAAAGGATACGATTATTTTGGCAAATTGACACTATAATCTATTCAAAACTTTAGACAATTTTACCTTCTTACTTTTTGATTTCATTACTCTTGTACCCCGAAGCCCTACTCCCGGAATTATCGTTTCTGCTATTTCGTCTT